TAGACATTCAGACTCGTAATCACAGCGACCGACGACGGACTGCCCGACATGTTGTCTCATGACGTGTATCTCATAATCAAATCGGTCAGTAGGCCTTCTTCATAGGAAATCAAGAGGTGTTATTTTTCTATTTGTCCGCCGCTTTGAGTAGCATTCGACGGCCTTTGCTTGTCAACCCTTCTAAATGGTAATGTATTATTATTTTGTTCTAATAGAGTGAGATTCTGGTTTTGCGTAGACGAGGTCGAGTAAGAACACGATGCTGAATATTGCCGTGTGTGAAAAAATGCTTGAGAAAAGTAAGTGGGCAGAAAAGTGGAGCCACAAACGATTTGGAGCGTCAGATCTCAAAGAAAAAACATTTTCATAGCAGGCCAACCCCGCCGGCCATGATGATTTTGATATATTCTTTTGACTGACCATCAGGGTTACCAGATTAGGTCTCTTATCGCCGAAACTCCGTCCTTGTTTATGGATCTTTTTTCATAAGCGATGTAAAAAAGGTCAACGTATCTAGTCAGTAATGTGAACAATTGAATCCAATACCCGTCTAATTGAAGAAATTTCTACAAAGAAATACTCGTAGACACCCTGCATTCGTATCAGACATGCTGCAATAGGTTTTAACATTTAGGTAAAACTAGAGACAGTAGCGAATCTGTCGCGCAAAGAAAAGTCTATGTTCTACTTTCGTGCACTGTCCACAGAGGTTACTTAAGGTCGAGTAGCGCACCTATTGATCCCAGGGGCAAATACGAAGGACGCTAGCAGCAATTTCGATTACAACTGGCAGTAATTAATCAGATAACGAAGCAGACCGCAGTCAATAAAGCAACGTCTATGTAGTCGTGAAAGGCACTTAGAGGGGCAGCTATGCCGAACGCAACATTAAGCGAAAGTGTGGACGGATATTCTAACACATATGGCCATACATATTAAGCAAACGCTATCCGCGACGTGATCTATTGGGTTATTAATCTACTGAGACAAACACGGGTAATTCCGACCCAGCAAACTGCTATACTACACAATATACTGATAACCGTGGCCGTAATAGGTGCCAGGCTTAATGCTTATTGTAGCGATCTGTAAAACATAGGTAAACCAGCAGGGCTCAAACGGCTGGCATTTTAGCGTCTTAACGAAAGATTTAAAACTTATTTCTTCGAATCCCCGGCTGAACATTCACGTATTTCAATCCTGATACTGTTATTAGCTTTAAGAAAGATGTCAGCCTAACTTATGTAATGAAACAAGGAAAGTTAGCTAATCTGTTCTATACAATGGACAATATATTTGGTAAACACGCCGTTATAACTTAAAAATCATCGTCTTAGCTGTTTCGTTACGGCAACAACTGCCAACGCGACGGTTCATTTCTGTTCAGTTAGACAAATAAACAAGCACGAATCTGTGTGCTAGGTGGACATTTAAGCGTAGGTCGCTTCGCACCTTTGTCTCTGGGAAACCTTGCACTTTCACCGAGACACGCACTGCTACCTTGAATTGTATATCTACATCTTTTCATAGGCTAGGTAGTTTATTTTTGGGTTTCAAGTAGTTCAGGTATTTTAAATAATGGCGTTACCGTTACAAATTATTTGTTTAGTGAAAGAGTCAATGTGAAGAATGCTTGAGGAAACGCTGCTGATAAGGACTAGAACGGCTTGATACCGCGTTGTTTACGTCAGTAGTGTAACGTGACGCTAGGATAACAATATAGCTCTTCTTTCTCCAGAACATTTTCTACTTCAGAACACGACTCGATCTAGAGTAAGGAGTAGGATCTCCTATCATAGGGCTGTCGGCCAACTCCTGTACATATACGACTAGACTGGTTTGTTTAATCGTATATGCCATTGAGTTTACGTACAATAATAGGGTGCTTAAATATCATATGCAAGAGTTAAGCTTAAGTACTTGCTCGCTGTTCACAGGAGAACTTCTGCATGTGTCTTAATCTTATTTTAGCGTGCATGCTACTGCTGTTCTCGACGGGTCACGTAGGCATTCATCTATTTTTTTTCTACATGCATATTGGCGTTGCTGTCAGTAAATATCCTAGCCGTTATTATAGTTCAGTCCCGATTGGGCCAGCTGGGGTAAACAAGGCCGAATGGTCCTTGATCTGTGCTTTCTAAGGCAGTCTCTTCTTGGTGATATATATATATATATATATATATATAGATATATATATGTACAGTAGTGTACGCAGTTTAAATTAATTACGTCATGTCTCTTCTGGGGCAGCTTTTTTTTGCTCGTACAGCGCCAGCCAGAGCTATTCTTTATAGGTACTTCCTTGCTGGACAAACAGAAGAAATTGACACACAAGTATGATTCTACGTCTAGCCAGAAGAATGGGGTATCGTTTGCCATCTGTGTCTAAGTCCGCCCTTGTGGAGTTCCGTTCCATGCTAGCATTGTTGACGAGGAACAGCGGTCCATGGCTGTGGACCGTGATAGCGATTCTGCTTCAACAGATGATGGTTCAGCAGTGACTGTGCTGTGTTTAGCGACCTGTCGGCCTGTGTAGTTCCGTATGACTCATAGTGCAAGCGAATACGCGGCACATCCCGCAGTCGGCTAGAACAAGCGGATTGTTCCGAGAAACGCATGTTTTCTTTCCCCGATTTGCGCTATCGCTCCATTGTACGCTACCCACAAGCAACAGACCCACAAGCAAGCTACAATAATTTATAACGTTATTTACTATTTCCCCGATGATCCACTATGCAGTCGTCATTGCTTTGTACCTCGGTACCCTCACTGGCCCTGAACAGAGCTACTAACGCACAACACACGCGCAAATAGGTAAACTCACGTATCCGCTAACAAACTCACGCAAACATTGCCCGAGATCGGTCATAGAAAATTGAATAAGCGCCAAAGAAAGAAAAATAATAGGAGAAAAAGGAAAGCAACAGGGGAAACACCATGTCTACAGAGGCGATGTTGCTACAAGCCATTACGCCGCATTGACAACTATAGATGGACTGAATCAAGTGCATCCGTCAGCAAGACAAGATTCGACCGTATGGTGCTGCTAAACAAAATAGTCGTAAGAATTTATGAAGAGCGGCAATGTTACGCGTCTGCGGTATCTGAGGAGCTCGGCCAGCGTTGTGCGCGCAAAAACGCCCTAAACAAATAGCTGGTAAGAAAGTCTCAACTGCCATTTCTCCGGACGTCTCACAGCATCATCATCATAACGATATAGCATTATTAAGGGAGAAGTAAAGCGAGATGAGGAGGTGTAGCGAGAGTAAAAATATGAGATTGTGTGAAGCGCCAGGTACCAGAACCGTTCGAGTCGAAAGGCGCCAACAATGGGGCTGCGGTAAACAGCAGCAACAACAACGGGTCAAATAGCAGGCTGTCATTAGATGAGTAATATCGGCCGATCATGTGGCTATGGCCAGTTAGCAACGGAATTGCAGCGATGGTGACAGGTCAACTACGAGTCAAATGGCACAACGGCTATTGTATGTATACGTCTAACGTTGCCTAGTGCCAACTGTATTGTGTATTTGTTATTATTGTTACCCAGCTGCAGACCCAGACGTCACCACAACAGCAAAAAACAAGTTGGTCTACGAGAGCGAGGATGTCGACGACATCGATCGCTTATTCGACGCCGGGCTAGCAAGATCTATAATCATGACGACAAGACAAGTATTAGTAATTGGCCATTGCAAGCCATTTTGAGTAAACGGTTTGACGGCATGGCCGACAGTGATAAGACGTAAGGACGAGTCAAATCCACTTGTCGCCGTATTTCCATCTTGCGTTTCGTCATTTGTCGATCTATTCATGCTTCACTTCACCACTCAACGTGTCCTGACCCGGCCGTTTGTTAACGTAGGAGAATGGCAAAAAGACACATTCTCGATGGGTGAGCATCTTTAATTGTCTCCAGTATTGAGTAGTACATGGATCCTCGCTAATAAGAGCAACATGTGTGCGTAGTCGTTAAATGGCGATCGCAAAACCGAGCCATCTTCACACACATCTTCCAAGATCTATTCTCTGTAATCAGACCTAAGCATAAGAGGGGTTGGCTTGCGTAATCCAAGAAGTCGTCGTGAAAATACATTGGGTCTAGCGAAAAGAAGCACCTCCAGGCAATCTGTTGGCAACGCTACAGCGTTTCCCGCTAACCGTAATCTGTCCAGGTCGGCTAGTGATAGTACCGGTAAAATCTGCTTGTCATCTCCTTGTGTTTCCCAAGGAAAACTACCAGTTAAACCTCGCTCACGCGTTCAATACAATGATAGCCTTTCAGGCTCACTGGGAATCGTTTAGAGACGCACGTTTTTTTTTTTTTTTTTCACAGAGCCTGCTGTTATTGCTACTGTTGTCAGTCATATGCTGTCTGTTCAGATAAATCCATCACGATGCACCCGACGAAGCCCAGTACGTATACAGAGAAATTAAGACGAAATCGAAATGAAGGAAGCACTTGTACTAATACGGCTAGTACTAGGTGTGTTCCATGTCGACTACGAAGATCTCCAACGATACGCAAATGCAGCGGTCTCCCACTTTGCAGTCGATCATCTAATCAGGTCAAGCAATTGGCCATGATATGCTAAGAGTGCGGTACTGCATTGCTCGTTTCTTTTTTATCTATGTGATTGTTCATATTGACGTTAGGCCATTACAGTATGATGACAACAATAAATGGCGCTGTATACCGTCTCTAAAATCGGCGTGCTAACGTCGTTAGGCCCAATTATGTGATCGACGTTATTGTTGCTGCTAGCACCACAGTTACTTTTGTCATTCTTTGTCGTTGCTCGCTCTTATTTAGTTGGACAATATGACCTTACTATACCTGTGCTACAACAGCTGGATTGCGATTGTTGCCACTGGCTGATTCCTATAAAACGCAGTAAAGCGACGATGATCGAATGTGCTACAGGAGAAAAGTAGCAAAAAAAGAGATATCAATAACAAGATCCGGTGGCCACAGTAAGGACAACGAACGCGTCATCGATTGTCTTTGTTTATTTGTCAACACGGCAACAACTGACAGGCACGACGTTTACGGGGAAACATACAAATCTACACTATAACCAGTAGCAGCAGCAATAGAAGTAGGCGACCTCTTGTTTTGTCTGCAGCACATACAGTCTCCACCGCTACTATCCGTCATTGTGCTGAGCTTTTTAGAACATTAGCAGATTATGACGAGAACAACCGGCAATCCCTAATACCGAACAGGACTGCCACTCAGTTGAGACGTTTTATGACGGCGATAGAAGCGCCGATTGAGCGTATTGGGATTCGACAAACAAAACAATTGCTAAATCGCTCAAGTGATATGATAAAGGACAACGAACAGGTGACAATCATTCTACCTGCTCCACTGGGACGTCAACGAAAAATTAGATCTACAATGGGGGAAAAAAAAGGCGAGATAAAAAGAGCGAAAATAAGATCGTTAGTGTCTATATAATATATATATTCGTGTTATAATTGCTAGAATTCAATGGGGCTGGTGTTGGAAAGGTCAAAATGAGCATAGCAGTAACGAACGTTGAGATGGCTGTGTCGGTGATAATGCAAATTACGACGTCGCCATTTTCGAAGTCATTGGACTCGTTGGAGCATTTTAGTAAGCGCACGGTTAAGTAGTGAGTAGCCAAGTCTTCGTGATGCAGACGGTGACCAAGCTCGGAACAATAACGGTGAGTCACAAAATACAAATATAAATAAGAGAACGAAAATGCTCGGTATCATTGCCACCAAAACCGTTATCAGCAACATCGGCTAACTGTATAAATCATAAAAGGGGTAAGGAAACTAGCAAATGAAAATTCGAAAAACCATGACGTTATTGTTACGCATAGTCGAGATGACGACCCCTCGACCACTTTCGGTTACTCCCAGCCGCGAAGCTCGTTGACGAGACTAAAATTCATTCTAGCGAAGCATGGTTAGACACTGACTGATGGCTCCTGCGTTTCGCAAAACGCTACCGTAAGCCGCGCCCTGAATAGTGTAAGTGGATAGAACTTTTCCGTTCAGAGCTACACCGAACGCCGGTTGCTGTTTAAAAACGCAAAATGACCACATCAGCATTTTTTCCCACATTCAGAAACACCAATAGAGGAGGCAGCGATTAGAACAAAAGCGTCTCAGGCTAGCATTAGGGCCGAAGGCCAAAAAAAAATGCAATCAAGGGAAAATGACAAAGTCGACTGAAAAAAACTATAAGGAACCGGAGGAATAAAGATGGACAAGAAAAAACACAACAGCAGAATTACGATCATGATCTCTATCAGCATTCAGCTACACACACCCATGTGAGTCAGGAAGCCGTTAAGGTTGTGGGTCTACGTCGCTTCACCGCGCCATCGTACCCTCGGGAGGCAGTGCACAGACGGCATGACAACTGCACAAGAGCAACAAACCTCTATATATGGAATAGTAATGATCACTTAATAATGGGTCGATCGACGGCAGCCGCAATGACATTGCCGCAAAATATTTGACACAATTTTCAATATTGGAGGAGAATTCGTCATAGATCCTAAGGCGCACACAGCTACCGTCGTAACTCGACGTACTACGGCTACCGTAGGTTTGTCGGTGATTGGCTCCACTAGAGTCGCTGTGGAGCCCCACTATTGGCTAGCATTTGTATCTATTTGGAAGCATTACTACCGTCCACCGGCACCTGCTCGTTGATACTAGCTGCTGTTATTGGTTCAGACATTATAACAAATTTTTACTATATGTTACCGCAAAGACACCCATAAAGAAGAAGAGCAAAGCCTGAGATGTAAACCAGGTCGAAGAGTAGAAAACTCGTCTAGTTATGCTGAATTCCTTTATTACAGCAGGAAGATCAGCAGAGTCCGCTGAGCTACACATATCTGAGGAGGCGACGTACTAAATTCTTTAGCCAGCGAGCAACCGGTACGTCGTTGATACTGGTTTACTACTCCCGTGAATTTTGCTTATCGAGAAAACACACATATTCCGAATGGCACCTATTCCCACAAAAACATGCTTGTGATACCAAATCGAATCGCCTATCAAATCAGCACCGTACCAAATATGGGGCACGGTAAAAGGTGGAGTTAGCAAGCATTTGTAGTTTATTGTAGCGTTTGGAGGCTTGCTTTATCATGTGTAAAATCAAGCGCTGGCTACTGTATATTCTGTGTCCAACTGTGATATATAAATACGATAGATTTGTCAACCATGCTTCTCTTGATTGTAGATTGCTGTCAGCAAAAACTTTAGTTCTGTCGAAGCACCATATGGAGTCGTCTACTTTTTGCTCTCAGTTTAGGATAAACGTTTGCTTGTCTCAGAATTTGCCTTGTTGCAGTCGCCGTTGGCTGTTACAGCTTAAAATCGTTTAAAGAACAGCAAAGGGCGAACTTTTAAAATTCAACAACAGCAATAGTTCGTCGGATTTGAAGAGATCATTCCAGCCTATGTAAATCTAAACAGCGACATCTTTCTTCTACGTTCTTCGTAGGATCTGTTCGCCACTACGGATGTGCGCCACGATATATTAATGCGGCCACTGCCATATTAACGGCTCTTCAGAGACATTTGGGATCCACTAAAATCATCTGCAAGCATAATGTTCAATGTTTCAATGCGCTAGTACGGACGGAAGACAAGACGAAATCGTATCTACGTCATTAGGAAGTGAGTGGAACGTTTGAGTCTCTGTTATCAAGGCTATTTCATGTTACTGCTACTGGTCCTGCATGTTCGCTACGCCTCGCTTTGGTCGGTGCTACTGAAAACCGCTCGCAACAATGTGAGAGCCGTGTGTGTAGCGCTGTCCTATTTGTATTGTAGAAAAAGACACGCCGCAGGCTCACCTGCTCCGTGCACACCCCCGTTACAGACGTAAAATAATTGTGGCCTGTGCTTCCTTTGAGCAGGTGTACGGACTTCACTTATAGCACTATCACGACATATATCAAAAAGTGCAACTGTTGAGTGAAAAAGTTCTGACACATATAATTCTAAATGCATCCCTGTCTAACAATCATCCCATCTTCGGGAGTACTAGACATAGACTGGCTGGTAGCAGAAGGGTCCTAGTTTAACTCAGCATGTGATCAAATGAGATGGTTAGCTCGTTATACGGATCTGATTTGCTGTCCTGTAGCAACCAGTATCCATAATAGTGATGTCTAATTACGCTGCGTCTTAAATCCTGCAGCGGAAATGATAACTAGTTGTCCTACGTAGGGTATAAGGCGTCTACCAAGTTTCATTTCGGTACCAGCGTTCACAGTATATGGCTGCCTATATGCGCGTAGCAGTGTTTGATGCTAGCTTGATTTCCTTTGGAAGGACGGCGGACGCTGAGTAGATGCTGCGGAATGGAAAACCTCGTTGAATAAACAATCTTCGTTCGTTATTAATTTTTTACATTCGCAAACGCTAAGGAATTTCTGTGAAAGTGTCGCTTGCTCACAGTCAGCCTCTTTTCATATATTTTTCTCGCTCATCTTTCGCTTTTGCGAATGTAAAAAATGGGTACCGAGGGCTAAAGTAGTGTTGGCTCTCGATATGGTATTATCTACCAATGTTCCAATACGAATGCTGATCCTCCGTCCGTGCCGATATCGTATTTGGACTTGTGTTCCGGAAAACTGTTGTTGATCTGCTATTTTTAAAACGTTTTCTTTCGCTCTTGCGATTTTTCAACTGCATTAATCGGGCGCTTTCTTTCATGATGGTCGACTTTTGATAACCTGTCATTAACCAGAATTAGCCCTAAATGGCTTGTTTTTTTTTTTATAGTTTCCTTCGGCGCGCTTTATTTCGGCGGCGGTGGTAGTGATCTGTTTGCAACTTACGGCACAAATATTCATCCAGTCGTTGTGAACCCGCTCACTTGCATCGGGCGTATGATTTGCTAGTAATTGCTTACTTTACCCACGCAAAAGCTCATCCCAATAATTGATCCGACCAATAGTTTGTAGAGCACTAAGATTCAAAGAGGTCAACATTTATTAAAAAGGCACAAAAAATAACTTTTGATACGCCTGTTTTTTTATACAGAGATTGATGGCCGTCTTAATGAGAGAACAACTGACAATTCGGTCATCCAGATAAGCTTCAACGGTTAGTCCCTGTAAATTGTTTTACGCATTTTGAACTTCTTGTCGCTTTGAGCCCTTGCATTTTTAAGACTTTTGATCTGCTATCTGTTTGAATTTTAATTTTTGTCCGTTTTTTTTTGTATATGGCGTATTTGAGCGCTCTTTGTTTACGTATGTATACACACACATATATACGTATATATATACACATCTATATATGCATTAGAGGAGGTCAGATCGAATACGCTTGAATGGAACAGGCAGCAAAACAATACCACGCCGACGAAAGTCAAGGTTTCACTGTGCAAACAGCATCGACATCGCATAGCGTCGACCCTCGTAACTTTACCGTTATATTCTACCGCTACAGAGGTTTTTTACAGCAGCATAATTTGGCAGTATGCTATCGTAAACACAAGAAGAAACTATTTTTGCGATTGGGGCGACGGCAAGATAGAGCCCCACATCGTTGCCACCACCTAGGTTATTCCTCAGGCAAATTGTCTGCTGGCTAGTTGATGCACGGTATTTAAGGGAGGCTATCTATACGACCTGGTACAAACAATAGTACGCGGACAGAGCGTTTGCTTGTAAACTTCGCGATGCTTTTTTTAAAGTGTGCGAAGCGCCCTTATCAATTAACGAAAACAGTCATTCCAACGGGTGCCTCTAGGAATCTTCAAGATAAATGCTCGTAAAAGAACTGATTCGCACGCTTACTAAAAATAGTCAGTCCGAGATAAAGCCTAATTTTAGAAGTGCCTGAATTGATATTTATCTACAGGTGTTTTAGGTTTAGCTCTATTACTTTGTGCTGTTGGCGGACTGATGACCCTTAATCAACTGGTACATGTATTGTGTGTGTCCATTACGACAAATCTCTTACGACTTCAAACTAGCGTATAAAACGTTCAGGTTATTTAAACATGGGTGGGCTCCCTAAAACACTTTTATACGTATTACATTTCAATATTTATGCTAAAAATTACGAGGAAGCTTGGTAAACAGCAACCAGTCAGTAATATTTTGTTCGTCGTGCTAACTGGATATTTGCATGCCTGCAAATACATCAAGGCTAGCCATTGGGGGCAAACAGAACACTTACAAAGATCAGGTAGCAGTAAATACGAGCTCGCGTTTACGTGCCACAAATCCGTTTCGTTGCCGATGTAACATTGGCGGAAGCCATTTCTGGTTAACGAAAAAGATCACCTGTATAGAGGCGAAGCATTTTGTGAAATGTCAAATAGCACTTTCATCTCGTGGTAAGCACTTGAAGCATACTAGAGTGGAACAGGTTGAACTTCAAATAGTCAATAGGAACACTGAATGGGAACCCTCAAATAGGAAACTCTGACATCATATAAGCTATTGATTAATCGCTTCATTCAAAACGATGACACTATGTATTTGAGCAAAGCGTGTGCGTATTAATAGCTTTAGAAACAGTCGTATATATGACCGGTCACTTCACGTGTATCAACGAAAAGTACCGTTGTCAATGTATAACCTCGTTATACACTGACAACGGTCCTGTTCGTCTGCATCAGTAACAAAAATACCATTTCAAACGATGAAAAACTTTCTAAAAAATGGCTCGGTTTTTATCATTAAAGACCGTACGAAAAGCATCTGATTAAATGTAACGCTTCAAATTAGGAATACATCCGTTAGGGCTGTTTAGTTTTTAGAAAAAAAAAAAAAAAAAGACAGAAATGGTCATAACAGTTATGATCATGTGTGCCGTCATCGATTTTAACTTGGTTCCACTATTTTAACTTGGTTCCACTATGTTAGCTTTTCTAAAAGTGACTTACGGATGAATTTATTTTTCACTCCGTACAGTGTAACATACCTAAAAATAATTAGAAAAAAGGACGGTCTAAACTTTGATGCGACGTCTCTGGACATAATTCTAAAATAAATATTGCCCAAGTAGAATATTTCACATCAAATTATCTAACGTGACTCGTCATTTGCCGAAGCTGCGAAATCTAGTGCTGCAGCAATATCTCACATATAGATTATAATAATTGTGGATTATTTAAGCAAGCCCGGTTCCCAATAAGATTTAGCGTGTACATACGTTTATTCCCATTTACACCCTAAATGAAAAATTCTTCGACGGCCAAAACGACAGTGTACTACCTAAGTCTTCGCTAAGTGCCTCCTGTCGCTGATAGATTTTTGTCGAACCCCATTGACTACGTTTTGTTGAAAGTATCTGTAGTGCTTGAGCCCCCTTCATTCTCACGGTCATTGCTTCCTCACCAGAATTCTGCCACGCACACTATTGTGTGCGCTGTAATAAGGCCTTGCTTCGTTTTCATATTGCAACTGTAATTTAGATACATTTCTGAAGCTTTCTCACTCCAGCCGCCCCTTCTGGCCTGCTTCTGCGGGATTGCTGTCTATGAAACACGGTAGCTTCGATTTGAAGGCTGACTTCAAGCAGGAACCAGTCGACCCCTTCTGATGAGCGCTGTTAAATGCTGAATCCCCGATTCGCGGTTTTTCGGCTCAGTAAAGCGATCGTTAGCGTACCCGTCTTCGAAATCGCCGCTGCCGTTGCTACGACCGGCAACAGTAAAAGTACCTACAAGCAGCCAGAAGAGCTAACCGGCAGAGTCCTGCTGCTACAACAACAACGTACCTACTCCACCCGCTACTTCTGCGTCTGATGGTGTCCTGGATAGAGCGAAATTTCGCCGGCTGCACCGTCGTTCGCACCACCCCAGGAGCGCCAAAAGCAGAAGCTAACAACAGTCGACCGAGTTGACCGAACAGGCGAACGCTCGGTCGTAGATGAAACGGAGGCCGTAACTGAGACAGCGTGTGTAACCGCCAGCCAAGCCACCGATCACAAATAATAATAATGAAACCGCAACAGTGCCGCTCCACAACGGCATAAGGCGTCGCATTGCTTTGCATGACATGCCGCGGCGTAACGGCTGAATCGTAAAAAGCGTCAATAGAACAGTGTTTGGTGAAGGAGCGCTAACGCCGGTAGCTGTACGAATAAACGACCGCAGATAAATATCCTCGTTGCCAGCTTAGTTTTTTCGTTTTCCTTTTCAGTTTTTTAGATATTACTAACTATCCTTTTGTTTGATGGGACGAGATCTGGTAAGTTAACTTATGAATGATAGAAATACAGAACGTCTGTTTCGATCAGCAACAGCAGTAATTATAGCGTCTGGCCTCGTTTATCGACTGAGCTTGACTTTGTTTAAGGGTAGCAGTCGCAACAACGATCAGCAGTTATGTCTGCTGCTTTAGTCTGAAGATTATCGAAATCGTAAACAGTCTACACCTCTATTGTCGACACCGAAAATAGTCATGGCAATCATTGCCGGGTTTGTTCTTCATAATACCAGTTTTGCAAGAATGCTGAAGACAGCCTACTAAAAGCTTTTGAAAAAAATATCTAGTGACGTTTGTTATCACGGCAATTACATATTAAGTGGAGTATCCAACGAACTCTCGATCATTTTAAAGGATTCGGTAAAGGGAAATATTTATTTTCCAAATCATGTCTCACAAACACAGTTTCTTTAAAGCAATAACAACAAAATGGAAACACAGCTAGGAAGAGTAGCTGGTTCTATTCCATCTTGATATAGTTCGAATCAAATGTATAAATTAAGCCCTCTCCTAGTACTGACTACACGAATCCTCTAACAAAACAAGCAGTAGCCAGAAAATTAAACAGGTTAACTGCAGAACAAGGTTTTTCATTTACTGATCTAGCAGATTTTAACCACCTATAACAACAATAGGAGGCCAGCCAATGCACCACAACTAGCACTAAACCCCCAGAATATCGCTACTGTCACTGCAGCAACCTATGTCTCTATCTAACTCAATAGTTAATTCACTATACGATGAATAGCGAAGCAGATTGTAGATGATCGGATGTACGCGACCGTTCAAGACGGTTTAATAGAAGGCTGCAACATCAACGGTTGGTCTGCGGCTCGTTCTTGTTCCAGCTATTTCCTACAGCGCTCATTATTGACGACTGTCGCCGCTTATGAATGTTGTGCCTTTAAACAAACCTCAATAGATCCACCATGTTTTTCCCCGTAGTCCTATTGCCTTTTGGTTTAAAATTACGGAAACGGAATGAGCATACGTCCGTCCATCAACTGATGGATGCCGGCCTAATCTTGCCAAGATCTAAGCTAGGCGACGCACAAATGTAAATGTTATGATTATATGTTATGTGATTAATCGGTAGGGTCGACCTGGTGACTCTTGGACTCCGCACTTGCGTAGATCTAAGCTTTTTCATTTTAATTTTGACTAACTTTTCCGTTAGATTCCTATCTCTGCACGTGCTAGATCTCTGGAGTCTTCTTTGACTCATTGTTGTGGAGGATGTTGTTGCTATTTCGGAAATATATCGTGCACGAGTACCACTTCCACAATCGTTTCTGTGCGGTAGCGGTCGTTAACTTGAACGAAATGTTTCCCGATACCCACCAACGGTGATGCATGCCAAGAACGTTTATTGCAACAACAATGAAGAGCATTATTTCACTGCGTGGTTGGCCTATACAGATATCGGAACCCTGTTTTCCGCGACAGTTTGTGAAGGTTCGAGCTCACAGGTATGCGATGTGGCGCGGCGCCTACCTACATCAGCTATGAGCAGCGCCGACGACGACTACAATAGCGCGATCCTTACGGGCCCGATTCTACCGTGGTTAAGCCGGCTTCAGAACGAAGGAAGTTCACACGGCTCCTTGAATTGCCTGCTACTTCTGCTACTGTTTTCGATCTGTGCTGACCAGCCTGCAGCGTTGTATCACAACCTACCTCAAATAGCAAAGAGGAGCGGCTGGCCATTCAATTGCTGGAAAGGTTTACTCATTAGCACGTTGCATAATAGGCGACTGACAGGAAAAAGAACTGGGTATGAATAGGGTCCCATGGCTGAAGGCTGCCGTGATATACTTATTGTGCTTAACTTGACGCAACGATTAGTATTGCTCTGCTGACGCGCTTCCTTCGGTGATCGTAGTAACAATGCTATATGGCGGGCCTGCCCTTCCATGCGATGTTCAGACGATCTGTCCTCAATGGTCCAACTGTCCGCTAATCAACTAAGTACACGAAGTGACGCGCACACTGCCAACAATTCCCGTGTTATTGAAACTCTTGCTTTTATTTACAGTGGCCGGATACTCATTCGAACGTCAAGAATAAACCAACATTTTCGTTCTAGAAATGCAACTGTTCTATAGTGGCTCAACAAAGAGCTAACTACGAGTGGAGACTCATATATAAAACGTGTACAGCATCCAATTAAATAACTTGTCCATCCGACGATAGGCAAATGATTATGTTATTGTTGTTGTTACGGTTCGCGGTGATGGCAAATTTCAGTAGCGCAATATTCTCGTTTTATAGCGCCGTATTGTATAATTTGCGTCCAGTTTTTACTCAAATAAACCATCATGGACGGTCTGTGGAACATGCAGCACTAAACATTTAAATCAATAAACGTTTCGTGTGCTACATTTTTTCCCGCAACGAACCCATTTCTCTGCTGTTTAGCCGAATTGTCAGCTGAAAATATTCGACAGGGGTTATTCAGTCTTTTCTGAGGTTTCCATTGATCATGCGCGATCGGACAGGACGGCTGCTTCATCTGACGCGTCCCCTTTCATCCGGTCGCTCTTTTCCTCTGTTTTTCCCTTTATAATATTTTTGTTGCTGTTGCCGCCTTTGCCCTATGGTCTCCAAGATTATGTATTTGTTGTGTTCAAAGCCGTTTATCGCGGCGCACTAGCGTCATGATGGCGTCACCGGCACTTCCAATGACCGACGAATAGATGGACCCTTATTATCGGATCAGACAGCACATGAGCGTAAGAGAAGAGCGGAAAAAGCCTAACGTCATTCTGACAGCAGTGACAATAGCAACGGCCATAGGGACGGCATTGATTGACCACACAAACAAACTTATCCCTATATCGTGGTAGCAGCGGCAATCTAGTATAATAACAAGAATATTATCAAATGATATTAAAGCACTTGTTATCCTTTCACTATGTCTATGTATTCTGATACGACGACACTGTACCTGTCACAAGCATATTGTATCGATACGTAGTACTATTAAGAGAACTCATATAAAATTCCTCACCTGGAAAGCAGGGCAACTTTTGTGTTTCACCTTTCGAGCGTCATACCACTTGTGTTTTTCGTTGTTTCGAAGCTGAACCTGGCCATCTTCGCTTTCCCACAGTGGCTCCATGGTTTTGCATGCGCGCACCCGATAGCCAGCTATGGCAGGGCAGCATCGATCTCTACACGAGCACATTGTGCTGCAGAGCTCTTCGGCACTTTTGTACACGACGCTATTGTTATTCTGCCAGGGCATTGAATGGTGGTTGGCTGGCGACGGTTGCAGTGGACCTGAACCAAGCATCGCTGGCCGTAAGTAGGTGATTTCCTTGGGATTCGAATAGGTCGATGCCGATGTCGAGCTAGCAAAGCTTTTCACCGAGCTCGTATCGTCGGAGGTTTGGTGGAGATCTTCGAGACTGCCGACTCGGCTGGCTGGTGGTTGCACAAAGGGGGGCGGCTCTTTGAATATCGGAGCCAACTCGAGCGAGGGGGTTGTAGGCAAACTGGTGGACGTATCCGACAACCATGGAGGCAAGGCCTCTCTTCTTTTCGAAGTGCACCGGCTGATTGTTACGTAAATTTGACTACCGCTTTCCGACTCCGGGGGCGATTCAGGTAGACTGCCGGTCCCACTCGAGAGCACTGTCGATGTCGACGAGCGTCTCGAGTCACTGATTACAGTGGCACTCAAGCTACCTACGACAGGCTTATCGGGCTTGAAGAGCTTCTTCTTCCCCCTTCGGAACGTGGCGTACAGGGTTGACCTGCCGCTGCGCCGGAACGGGACGTCGAACTCGCTGCCTCCACTGCCATAGTCCGATACCACTGAAATATCGCTGTTGGACACTGATAAAAAGTTGTCATCCAACGCTACGTTCGCTGGTTTCTTAACAAGCCATGAATGTTGCTGCTGTTGGGATTGCTGTTGAACTTCGATTTCATAGTTGCCCCCGTAAAAATCAGGAACTTGCCTGCGGAAATTCGTTGCGTAGATATCCTCAAGACGGTCTCCGATTAGTAGGTCCGAATCGCCGTGTCTCAACGTCTTCACCTTGTGTGCCTGAGCTTTCATTTTGGCTGAACCAATCGGTATAGCCTTTGATGACACTTCGTTACTAAGGTTCGGCGGGTACCGAGCCTTCTTCCTGTTGTTAGGTAGAGTGAAACTATGCCTTAGATAATCCATTCCATGCGTCATGCTGTCCTATTCAACGTCTCAGAAGTTGGCAAATGATACCGCCCAACAAACGACATTCAACAAAATCTAGTTTGTTGCTGGCAGGCAAGCCAAGAGCTGCATAAACGCAACCTAACCTCAGTCCTGCTGGCGAACAAACTGAGCAGATTCAAAAGGTTTTTTGATCAGTTAGGCAGCCGAGAAAAACTAGGAGTCCCTTGGCCTTCAGTGCTTTCAATCGTTAGCCGATTTAGATACTGAAGAACAGACCGACTGAGCATATCCAGAAGCCTATTCGGCGAAAAGAAGCAAAGATGGACGAAAGTGCGCAACAACCCAGGTTCGATTCAGCGTTCAGTTTTGGTCGTTAACAATACAATAGTAGCTAGAATCCTTCTAGTTCCACTGCGGAGGATACCGAATCGCTGAAGGCAATGAGGTGAGCTACAGAAGTAACCACACAGTAGGTCTTTTCAACCCGCTTTTGTGAACTTTCTAATCTATGGCAGCGTTCTGTTCCTGTTTCAGCTTGCACGAGTGAGTATTGCAAGGGGTGAACTGCAGAACTACGAAATATTTTGTGTTGAACGATTAGCGTTAATCTTGCTTTTCGAAACTCTGCATTTAACCGATCACATTGAGCAGCAGATCCGAGGGTCGCTTAGCATGTGAGTAGCTAATGGAGGACGGACGCTCAATCTAGTGATTTTATCGAACTCAATTATCAGTTCGAGGTCGAAACTCTACAACGGCTTTTGCATGTCTCGGCAAAAGTGTAGAATTTTTCCACGATGAAACGCTAAGTAAACCAAATAGCAAGGCGAGAACAAACGAACTTTGAGCACAAAAGCAACAATTCGCGTTATTTCAAAATATGTTTTTTGACGGTTTGCTAGGTCGTAATTGAACGACAGGTGGAATAAGCATAGTATCCAAAGGTTGACACAAATATCCAATGATTGTGATGTGATAATGTTATATCCACAAACTGGTGCTCACACACGATTACTTTCCAATTAGGATTGTCTTTGTTTTTCCATTAAAATTTCACTAGGATCAAAGGACTACTACGAATATAAAAACCTTCGTGTTGGTACTACAATAACCGTAAGTTACTTTCGTAACGGACAACATAGCCATGGCGGGTTGATCGCTGCATGCTGGCGCCGTAACATTTAAACAACTGTGTATGATAGCTGCGACAATGCGGGCTACCCTTCGCCAGGCCCAGAAAGGCGCCAAAATATACCAGACACGCTGGTATCGGAGCCAGCATCCCTCTCCCGAGGAGAAAGAGGACGTTCTGCTTTCAGCTGAATGTCGGATAAGCGATGCAGAAAACACCTCGAGAACAGGGAGACACGCTTCACAGTAAATAGAACTGGTCAGTATAGGGCCGAAAGATTTGATCTTGAACGAATTTATTATTAGCCAACATCGATTAAAAGAAAAATACTTGAGGAGAAGAGTCTGTTCAGTCGCCGCAGTCGCAACAAAATAAAGCACCATTTTTACCTAAAGATGTACAGTTGGCTATTTTCTCCACGTCAACATGGTTTGTCAATATTTAGATCTACGCTAAATGACATCTGTAGAAAACGTGACGTATAATGCAGAACAATTAGAGTTGCATCAGTAACTGGGTCGATATATAGATGCGCTGGTTTTTACGCAACGAAAGGCTGCGCTTCTTTCTACAAATGCTCCAAAAATTTTGCAATGGGATATTAATTGTGGACACGGACAGTGTCTGAGTAAAATAAAATTGAAGCATTTCTGCGATAATGATCATGTTTGTCTTTATCCGCTGTAAAGTATCCTGTAACTGGTAGCGCTAAAGACAAATTTTAACGTGCCATTAAGACAAAACAGAGTCGAAATTCTAATAGGGAATTTACCATTCATCGACGTTGTACGGTCGGATCCATAACTTCACTGAACTTAAAGCTCGCAGCTTAATAAAAAACAAAATAAATAATGTTTCCTAAGGTTTGTTATTAATATTGTGTTATTAATATTGATATTGTTGCTGTCACTACCGGATCGTAAATATGAGATAGGGTAAATTTGTTTTACATAGGCGAGTGTTCGAGAAAATTGACAAGATAAGAAGTGTTATTTGAGCGAGCTTTTATGTTAAGTTCTTGAATTCGCTCAGTCTTTAATGTGATTCATCTTTAAACTAATTTCAACAGGGAGAATGACATACGGCTTCCAGTGCGGTTCTTTCGAGCCTTCGCAAACTACATAGACTCCATTGTACAGTGCCCAAACAGCCATGAAGTGAAAATTATAGCTTGAGGATAAATCTAAATCGTTGTTAAAGTGATCCATGTTCTAGCTGTGGCGTAGCAACCTTCAAGGGGATTCCCTTCAAGCAAACATTTTGTGCGTAAATCAGATAGATAAAAATACGGTTAAAAGACATGCGGCCAATCATTCGTTGTATCTGATGTTCATTATGACAATAAAACACACTAACCTTCGTGCAACATTAACAACAGCGAGTGTTACCGATTTTACGTAAGGTAAGCAAGCATCTAGGCTTCAGTATCTTCGATTATCTTTCAGTAGGAAAAAAGGAACAACGTTACGGGTAACAAATGCAGCTGGAAGTGAACAGTTCATAGACAAAAAAAAAGATTGACCAACGTCAGACGTTAATCTGAGAAGCACTTCAAATCAGTCCACCGTCTATTGGGCATACCGACCCAGTAGCAGTCGTCTCGGCAGTATTCGCAGTCTATCATGTGTCATCGTTGCGTTCTACCGCTATGATTTCAAAGGTAGAGGGGACACTGTTGCGTAACGTAGTCTTTTTTTACCAGCGATCAAGCTGTGGATTGCAACAGCGCGTCACTAAAGTGGCAGTCCAATACGACGAACAAGGAGTTCATTGCAAATCGCCAACTCTCGACCGAAGCTGGTACACCAAGGAAGGAACAGTAGGTTTTGGTCGTCACTCAAGCCCGTAAGTCAATGCATCGTGATACCTAAGCTGTACAAAAAATGGGATGAAGCAAAAACCCTGCGACTGGATAATCGCAGCCCTTCTAAGCCTACGTCGAACAGCCTTGTTATTCCAGGATTTTATCCTTTATCCACACACGGGCTAAAAGCAACAGCGACATGTTCAAACCACCCACGATTGCCATCCTCTCGTGCGTCCGACAGCTAGGTATGACGGCTGGCAAAAATACTTTTAGATGACGGAATGATGATTCCACTTAACGTTGATCAGAAGGTAATGAACCTGAAAGGCATCTGAGCAAATCAACTGCAGTAACCATCGCGTTGTGGATGATCGCACACGCTTATCGGTGATGCTGTTTCTTTACCTTTCAATCAACAGCTAACATTTCAAATAGGACAAACGGTAACTGATGCTTATTGAAAAGGTAAACGTTGTACATTATTAGTGGGGCAAACACGAAGATCTACTAGGTAAAAAAAAACGTGTCACATTGAGCATAGTTCGGTGCGTTGTTAAGCGCCTAACGAAAACGCTTTGATTAACGTTTTAGTATTCCATGCGACATTTTGTTCTAGTCCGACGCAATGAACGTGCCTTCGATCATTAGTTTGTCATCACATATATATCGTAGAATACATTTTTGCTGCTTTTCACTTTTTTGTGACCCCAAATACACGTACATACAACTAATGGACAATACCAAATACAGGGCGTACAATTGCGCGGTCTGTTTGCTATCGTTATCCAAGATAGCGTACTCCTGCTATTCAACACCAATCCACGAGTGACTTATAGCTAGCACTTCTCGTTTCGCTGATCGTCTTACTGCAATTACACTTCGTTTTTTTACACAAAAAATTACACACGAATCTCTCGTTCTATGTAATGTTTGCAAACGCTCCATTCCATACACAAGATTCAGTACGGCGTCTATCCCCGCTCGTTAGTACCAGCTGGTGCTAATCTCGAGCATCCTGCCAAAACAAGTTCAAGTTGCAGACTATATTTTTCAAATCACGTGACGCGGGCCAACAAACCAAATGTCGACCACCGATAGCGGGTGCCATTTTCTAACTTACTTTGCATATGCTACCGTAAATTTAATCTCTAAAAACAAAGAGAACCATGTGTTGTCTTAATGTAATGATAATACTGCTTTACGTTAGCTGGCGCAAAATCGTGGTCGTCACAGTTTTTGCGGGAGCTCTGCCATTCCAAAGCTTCCAAAGCAAAAAGAAGCTGTGAATATAGAAACGCTTGGATATAACGGTTTTAGTTGATGCTTATTAGTGCCTTATTTAGGTCGTTATTGAGTTGTTTTTACGAAAGAAAAGGATTGGCCAAAGAAATAAAGACGGCCTATGACGCAATAACACGGAAAGGTCTATCCACTTCAATTGTGAACATTGATAGGTACATTACTGTTAATATATTCGACTGCAGGCTTTATTTTGCGGCACAAGGAGTCCGGTCTGATTCGTTGCGATCTATGCCGGATAAACGAATTAAAGTCTTCTTTAATAGACGCTTTCACTGGCAATGTGGGGCTTATTCGATGTACCCGAATATTTTTTTCTTAGTTTTTTTTTTCTTAAAAATTAGTAGTAAAAAAAAGACTTACTTTTGCTTTACCATTCTAATGCTTCAACGACCTACAGCCGATTGTGTGCATACATATATACTCGTCCAATCATATGAATTATTATATAATTATAATAACGATTATAACGGTTCAATCAGCACTAATATAACGGTACAGATAAATAGACGTTTGTTTTTGTGTCTGTCAGAAAATACACTAACATTACTGCAAAACCGTGAGCATTATTTACGTCTTCATTGGTGCAGACGTACCCTCAGTACATGACTAATAAGTGACCTCAAGTGTCGTTTGCTAACTTCTCAAAGACCTCAAAGAACCTAAAAGCCTTAGCAGGAAAATGACAAAAATCACCCTGTATGATGTAGGAAGCCCTACGAAGTACTACAAATGGCCAGGCTATTCAAATAACGTAATAATAAACACACATGGCCACCACAAACTCGGCCTTGCACCAGTGTACATAGTTTGATGTTTTAATATGCTGTACGTTGCACATTAATAAGGTGTACACCGAAAAACACAATTGTACTCAGACACTTCACTTAAGTGTGCACACTTAGTTCTACGATGAACATTGTATGGTGAGTATCCTTTATGTATGTCGTTTAAGTGGCCCTCGATGGTTTTTATTGTCCGTACTGCTCAGACGTTGTTAGATTAACGTATCTACTGTTGAATAGTGCTTGAAATCCTGTTTATTATTAAATATTATGTCATGTAAATAGCGATAGAATTAGTTTAGTTAAAACTATCCGAAGTGGCAAAGAAGCCTAAGGCAGTTTTAACATAGGGAACAACGTTCCAGTTCTATGCATCTATCAACTGATCGGTCAATAAAATTGCAATATACTGTAGGATCACCCACATCGTTTCTCATGGGGGGGGGGGGGGTCCAGTTGGATGGCGCTCTCAGGGGTTAGGTTTATGTGAGATAGAGACCAGTGTGAACGAACGCTTCCCCATCTACCCACGAGGTGCTGCTGCTGGAATCCCCTGGACGGCCACTCAAGTACTAGTGCTCTGCAATTTCTTCCGCGGCATTTGTTGTATTCGCACATCGTTAGGTTAGGAGCATGGCCTACTTTTGGCTCATCTCACGCTGGTTCACAGGTCATGCTAACTCAAACTAGCGAACTACATCGCTGAACGAACGGAAATATCTGAAGCATTACCCACATACCATTGTCTCCTGTGGACCTAATCTTTGAGAAGCCGCACTAACGGACGCTTGTTTTCGTCCTGAGTAGCATACGCTATGGGAATGTACCATTATACCTGTGTAAGGTTAGTCCTCACACAGTGCGTTTAAGCCAATTATGTCTCTGTTTATCACTAATATATAGGATTGTACGATGGAAATGACTGAGTTCTCTGACGTTAAAATCAGGACGACAATAAGTATACAGGCTTATACGTTATCTATATGAGCTTGCATAACGTCGTTATTAGCTGCTCAAAGATGTCATAAAGGTTCCGTAAAAAAACTATTTACATTGAGTTGACCCCATTGTTACCACGTGCGAAGAAGATAGGTAGGTCCTCTACTATGCATACAGATGAACGATATTACCCATGACGCATATGAAATGGTTACGTTGAGTCATGTGACGGAACGCAGATCGTCCGAGCATCGTTCAGCAGAACTGCGAATGTACTTAATAGCATTCTATTTACCATAAGTGTCGCTTAGCATTCACGGCTTACTTTCTGAAGCTATCTATTGGTATAACTCTTTTAACAAGGTCTACTTTTCCATGAGGCATTCCATAGCTTCATTGTCACTCGAGTAATGCAGTGCACTTTTCCGCTTTCCATCGACCTCTATACACTGTGTAGATCGTGTGGCATACACTCAATGGTTGTCATTAAAGCAATTCCAGTACCGTCAATCATTGTGCATTACCGCATTTGTTAATTCATTCATAAATTTTTGCACTCGTTCAAACTACCCTTGGAGCCTATTTCTCAACTAGGTGCGATCCTTAAACTTGTTATTCTTTCCGACTCTGTTCACCACCGCCCGAGATAAATACATCGATCTAAGGTCGCCTACGAGGCTCTTCGACTCTACCCAAGTTTTGGTCATAGCGGACAGGCAGCTCTCGACCACCCCAAGTCATCTTCAGATCAGGACAGAGCTAAGAAGTAATGGGGATAGAAAACTAATACATAATTTACGATGTACATGGGTGTGGTTCCTTGACACCAATAGGTCTTCCTCCAGAGTTGAATCTCTTGAGCAGAAGTAGCGGTAGGTCAGAGACTACCAGTTTATAGCCCACCTTCTCAGTGATTAG